TCGGGTGGCCCACTGGTCAGGCCCTTTTGTGGGTCATTCGGAAATGAATTGCAGCCAGATGCCAGCTTCCCCAACACAGAGCTTTGTCATGCAGTTAGCGCGGCGAGGGATCCAAGAGAAAGAGTTAATCCTTCATTACTCTAGTCCGAGCATCAAATATAATGATGAATTTAACCGCCTCACTCTCTGTTCTCTGTGGTCGTCTTTAAGTTGCCTAGGATGTTCACAGTTACGTACAGTAAGCTGGGATACGACTCTGCAGAACGAGATGCCTTGATCTATTCCAACTTCGCACTCACTCCTTGAGAGCAGATGTCAGACAGCGGGTGTAAACTTGACGGATCCGGAAAGGTCTGGTCCACTGATGGCGTCTTGGGTTTTCGCAACGGGTACATGAATGTGACACTCTGCTTGAACTTACAGCGGTCAAGGGATAGCCATGCCGTCGATCATCTCCATATCCGCTAGCCCGGCGAAACTGTACTTTTTCATAACAAGGCAGGGAGGATGATCGGGGAAGATGTAATAGACCAACGACTAATGTCGGAACAGCATATGATAAACTTCTCTTCAACATAACTTACTTTACCATTCGCTCATGGGTGATGATGTTTCCGTCAACTATATTTACAGGAACGATGGCACTATCATATTCCGTGCATGTCAGGGTTTCTGAGGTTGCGGTGGCTTTGGTAAAGTCATGTCCGCGACAGCCTAGACCATAGTTGTGTCCTGAAGACTTGTGGAAAGGCCATTCATTTAGACTCTTGACCAACGTAGTCATGGCTTATTTTCTGATGATCCCCTTCCCCTCCTCTTTGTGTTGATCTTCAGAATCTCTTGTATGCTTTTAAGAATCTCGAAACCTTGTCGAATTTCTATGTATAACAGATCTGAACGCTGGCAAGGGTGATGATGAGAAATACTGTCAATGGCGTTCTGGGATGGCCATTGCGCTTAATTGGACCACTCCAATTCACCTCCATCAAGTCGTACTAACAAGCACCACCAGCATTTCTACCTGGCTGCTTAGTGACACTGTTACCAAGGCCGAGAGATTTTGATTCTTGTCTAGTCGATAGATAACGCCATTAATTTAAACAAGAAGATAGGGATGGCTAGCAGTGAAGAAAAAAGGTGCTATACGGTTATGGTCGCTGATATGATACCAGAAGCTTATAAGGCTAGTAACGAAGATGTGATGTACACTCGTACTGCTTGTTATGAAGATTCCGTTCGGTTTGCTTCACGATTCATCTGGCTCCTCTAAGTTTCTTCTTAAAGCGTCGTGGAGGCCGTGATTCTTGAGATAGGCGGCTCCTGAATTCCAGCTGGCCGTGTTGTGTCCGTGAATCCGGTGTCTTGAGAGCCTCAGATCTATGTCTTGGATGCATTCATCTCAAGGTCCTGAAAAGAGGCCATGTGTTGGTATCCCTATCACAGCGTAATTGGTTCGAACCGTGGGTTGACGAAGAGATCAATTGAACTATATGAATTCCTGCGTAGGTGTAAAAAGGAGGTTCCAACCGTAGGTTGGGCAGGCCGCTATAATCAGAAGTAGGGGCCGTAATTGGTCCCTGCGCGGTCGGGGGTACGCCGAGGTCGAATTGGACTTCCAATCCGACACCATGTCGGAAGCGTGATGCTAATGATACACACTAGTTGAAGATGGTCCTCGCCAATAAACACATCTAGAAGCGAGGTAAATGAGAGAAAGTTGTGGTATACAGTGGCGTGGTTCGCTTAACCAAGAGACTATGAGAAATTGCTCATGAATATAACCTCCGGGGCGTCCCTCGTGTGGCAGTACGCCAGAGTCCACACAAAGCCATGCGTGATGCTGCCTCGGGTTCCAACACAAAACCACATCGGAGTTCCATATCATTACTTCGTTGGTTAGTCTAGTGTCTTGGATCAAAACATATATTTAATTAAGACTGGCGTGGCTCAGACTGGCGTGACTGAAGTTAGTGTGATTCTCAGAAAGATGAACAGAGTCATTAACCTATCGGACGACAAATATCATATCATATAGTTGAGCACTTGAACAACCGCCAGGGATGACCGCACCATACCCACATCCACTTGGCCGCGTGTTTGAAAAGAAGTGCAAAGGTCAATCATTGTTGTTCATCGGCGTTTCTTGAAGCCAGGGGTTGGAAACAAGAGGGGAGAGTAGATAGGAGGACCCTGAAGGAAGGGATGTATTGACGCATTCGGCACTCGAAAAAACAGGTCACTACTGCTAGTACAAGCGTTACTTATCGTGACAATAACGTACTTATCATAGCCATCATTCATTATCCCAAACCGCATATCCTGGAACACAGCCATATTCAAGGCAGGTCAACAAGGGCAAGCCAACAGGAGCAAGCCAACGCCCTCGGTCTAGAGAAGGACGCAATCCTAAATGAAGCAGAAGTCTCCTCACTTGAGTAAGTGACATGGTACTCCTCCTTCAACATTCAAACCGATGATTCCACCCTCCATCACAACTCTTGGCCAGTACATACACGTGCCGCGACACTCTCAACATCAAACCCGCCAAAGTCTTCCCGAATCAGAGAAAGAAGAAAACGGTCCTCGTCAGCACCAAGAAAGTTAAGCCAGAGCATGCCAACAATACCAGAGGGCATTTCCATGTCCTCATGGTCCTTGCCAAACAGCTGGCGGCGCCAGGCATCGTCAAGCTCCCTCTCGAGACAGATGAGATGACGCACGACATGCCAGCGCTCCGCGCGCTCGAACTTAATCTCTTCTGTATCCTCAACCTCTTGCTCATCCGTATCACCATTGTGTGCATCGATCGGCCTTGGGAGTGATGGCGGAGTATCGTATCGAAGTCGGTCAAGTCGAAGCGTGGCCTGGAAAAGCTGTCGAGCCCCATCAAAAAGGTCTTGTTCGATTTCTTCGACCCTGCGAGCGTGAATGCCAAGAGAGCCGCGCTGGTTGACCCCGACCATGGATACTGAGTCGTCGGGACCGAGGACAAACGAGGGATCGATGATGGCCGAGCTCGGCCGAGAAGCAGCAAGCTTGTTAGGGTGGCAGTTGTCGTTGTCGTCGGTGCCCTGCTTCTTATTCTTCTTCTCCTGCTTCTTCTTCTTCTTCTTCTTCCAGTCCGCGAGTAGCGACTGGCCAACCTCCCGAGACATGTTCGCAGCAACGCCAGACCAGTCGGGATGCAAAAAGCCATCGACCCAAGGTGCCCATTCGCCGGTGGGACTGTTTTCGGGAGTGGCGCCTAGGTTGACGAGGATCCGGCGACGGCTTTGCAGAGCGGCTTTGATGCGCGGCAGGGCGACACGGTCAAAAGCGGCGCCCCAGGATGAGCCATCTGGGCGAACGTAGCGCATCTCGAGCATGAGTTCGTCTTGTTTCTTCCACTTTAACTCGCTCATCGTAAGGCGGTTGGCGATGATGTGACGCATCATTGCCTTTTTACATGACGCCCCAAAGCTGAAGTTCGTGGTCTCGGCTTTCGCAAGGTACGTAACAGACTGATCACAAATGTGCTCCTCATCGTTTGTTGGGCACATGGCCGGCGTGAATGGAGCAATGTAAACGAGGAACAACGTCGAGCGAGTGAGTGTAGGTGTGCTTACTCATGATAGATGTGTACAGATGCACGAGTGCGAGGGGTAGATTGAGAAGATGACGATGAAGGACAGTGAGCGAAAGAGGGAGAAGGAGAGGAAGAGAGAGACTGTGAGACACATAGCCGTTTGCTCAAGGATGGAAAGACGGAAAAGGTCTGATCACTGTGCAAACGAAACTCTCTGGAGGCATCTTCAAAGTTCGCCTGGCTCATCGATAGGAGGAGCAACACGCCCCTTCGACTACGCGTCATATCACTTCACCAATAAACCACCACAAGGACAACCTAAACTTGACACGGCGTTCACGTCTTGATAGTCCGTCGAGTAAGCCACCATGAACAACGGCCGAGATCCCCCGCTCTCTGCCCGCACCAGGTCCGCGGCATCCACTGGGATCATCAGCGACGCGATGGCCGCGGAGATTGAGGAGCAGTTTCGACTGCCCGTTGGTCACCCAAACAGACAGAATGATGAAGCTGTGAGGGCCAACTGGCGAGTTCTCTACCAGGACTGGCTGAACGGAAAGATGAACAATCTTTGCCGCAATCGTCGTGAGTCTCGGTCTTCTCCCGAGCCTCTTCCAAGCCACAAAATAAAAGAAGAATGCGAGATGCTGACAAGAGATAAACACATACAGCAGACCAGTGGTCCCGCGCCAACGCCAGCTCCAGCACGAGCACCGCGACCACCCTCTCGGCTCGTCGTTTCAACGGCTCGATCCTCGACGTGGACGGTCTTTCGAACGTTGACTTGAGCACCGCAGCCTCGGACATGCGTAGACGCATCATCGGTATCATCAACAAAGACCCCGAGCACTTTCGGGCCGAGATCGAGCGACGACGACAAGCACAGCAGCAGCAGCAGCAGCAGCAGCAGGACAAGGATAAGGGAAAGGGACCCGAGCAGCAGCAGCCGCAACAGCGGGCTCTGGCACAGCTGCGAAGAGCAGGCGCAGGAGGACCAGGCATCGCTGGATCCGACTTTCACTCGGCCGCGCAGATTGATAAGCGAATGGGTCAGCTGCTTGCCCAACAGGAGGCTTCGCTCCTGGAGGCCCTGCGCATTGAGTGCGAGATGAAGGCGCTGTGGTGGCTGAAGCAGCGCGCAACTCAAGAATCAAAATGAATTCACCATCTGCAGAGCCATACTAGGTAGCTCCGGTGCTCTGTTCGTATCTCATCAAGAAACAGATCACAGCGTTCTCAGAGCATGAAAGGCATGCAGAGGAAAATCAGGGACTCGAGATGTGGAGATAACAGACAAGGAAGAGGAGAAGGAGAAGTGTGATTCGAAGTTTTGGAAACAACGGAAAATGGAAGACGGAGACAACTTTTGATTTGCAATGTTGGAACAGCTCATGTAACTATCATCAAACGTCATCCATCAACTCAAGGAAACAAATCACAGACTGCCCATCAACATCAGCCTCTTGAACAATTGGTCCGCCTCAATGACGCTGCGCCTCGCATCCAATTGCCAGTCCAGCGCTAGCCGAATGTGGCCTACGAGTGACTCCTCGTAACTGACGACAGGCTTCACAGTCTCGTGGGCAGGCACCGGGATCCGGTCGCTGCTGGAAACAACAGTGCTGTTGCAGTCACCATCGTGTACTCCGGACGTGAGAACAGACCGGGGAGCGCGAGTGTTGCTGTTACTAACTGTGGTGTTGGCGACGACGGTGCTGTTGCAGTTATCGTCGTTACCTTGTCCCGACATGACGACAGGCCGTGGAGCGTAGGTGTGAATGGGAACAACGGTGGTGGCGGAGACGACAGTGCTGTTACAGTCATCTTGTTGTCCAAGTTTCAGGTAGGTGGGATAAGATTGAACAAGGGTATTTTCGGAAACCACTGTACTGTTTGCCGCCACGATATTGTTGCAGTCACCTTCGTGGCCAAAGAACGCAGCAGGAATAGCAGCAGCAGCAGGAGCAGGAGGAAGAGGCTGAGCATGGCTGCTGTCGCCAGCAATGGTGGCATTGAGAGTGCGCCCTGCCAAAAGGACATTGTCGACGGCCTGCAGGTCTGGAAAGTCAGGACCGGATGTCTGAGCTTCGTTTGGCAAAACGGCAGGACTAACCGCCGAAGCCGAAGTCGGCGAAGCACTGCTCGAGAGGTTTGAAGCGAGAGGATCGAACCGCTGCCACAAGGGGATGATTTCGCTGGCCACGCTGGCCGCGAGAGCCGCGAGGGCCGCGCTTCCCCCGCCGGTGGTTGGCGACGAGGTAGGCCGCTGTAGATATAGGCTGCTCGAGGTTGACAAGAGTCTTGCGTCGGCGTGTAAGCCGGGGTTGGCGCCAGGGCTGGTGATTGCCGTGTCGAGGTTGACGTTGGGCCAGCGCGGGGCTTGAGCGGGCCTGCGCGGGGTGTGAGCTTACACTGAGAGGATCATGATGGTATGAGCTGTCTGAATGAACACGGGGAGAGAACTGCTGGCTTACGTGGGGTTTGGAGGCAGAGCCGAAGACAGCGAAGAAAGAGACGACAGAGCCGAGGACGAAACTGAAGTCGCAGATGGAATCGTAGCTGGCGTTGCTGGAACGGGAATCGAAGTCAGAGCCTGAGTCAGAGCTGCACCCGGGGCCGGAATCGGCTTGATGATCGAGGGTGGCGTGGTAGCCAAAGGCCAAGGGTCAACAAAGCGGACAGTGGAACCAACGATAGACGTGGCGGCCAAGGAGTTGGGTACTGGGGCGGCGAGAATCGGGGGGAAACGTGCATCGACATCGCGAGTGTTCCGTTTGCCGAGGGTCCGTAGCCAAGCCTGAACGGTGTCGACAGTCTGGAACCAGGTGCCCGTGATTTCGGGGCTCCAAACGTGGATGCCATTACGTAGCTGGACGACGCGGTTATCGAGGACCCATTTGCGTGCTGTGTGGCGGACCTTTTCGCGGAATTGGGTGAGGACGACTTTCTGGAAGCGAATGGTGGCGTCGACGGCGGTAGCCTGAAAGGGTCCCATATGGCAGAGGGGCCGGAGGTATTCGAGAACCAAGTTATCAAAGTCTGGCCTCTGGATGTCGGAGGGGAGAATTTTGTGCTTGAAGAGTTCGTAGAGGATGGTGGCGCGTACCAAGAGGCACCAGCCAATAGCCTTTTTTTTGGACGCTGCGTAGGACTCGACAGGCACGCAGCAGACCTCCTGGAACGCACATTAAGTTAGTCGTTGCATCATGTACGACGAGCACGATGCAGGCGGAAGAGGGCTGACGGAGAGCGTGCAGGAAAAGGGGCAACAGAAGAGGGGGCCTCAGAAACGGGAAGTACTCACGTAGGCTGTGTTCGAGGTGCACATGGCGGCAAATTGGGCGTGGTTGGGTACAAAGACTTTTGTGACGCTGCGTAGGGAAGACTGAAGAGATGGAAATCTAAAAGAGAAGAAGAGCCCGAGAACGAATGGCAACATCGACGCGATATAAGCTCTCGTGAATATCGTCAAACACCAGAGTCCCCCAGTGTCAACCTCGTTAGCGTCCTCATTCTCAGCCGCAGGCTCCTCCTCGCCAACCAGCCGCTGCTGTGCTTTCACCGATGGTAAGTTGCTGAGACGTCACAGGCTGGATGCCAGAGTGCATGAACTGGTTCGACCAGGCTGCAGCAGTTCGCCAGTGGAGCTGTCTGTCCATGGTTCGTCCGCATTGCGTTTGTGGTTCGTCGCTGCATTTGTTCGTTTGTCATCTGCGCGTTAGTCTTCAGCCTGTATTCGCGCCAGTCCTCAGCCGAACTCCCGCAAGTCTCGCAGTTGGAACGATGACCATAATCTGGGCGCAGCCATTACCAGCGGTAAGGCACCGGTGTTTGGACGTCGGTTCGGCCGTCATGCATCGTCCCAGGGTGTATGAACTAGGAGGGTGAGTCCATTCGGAAGGGGAACCTGTTCCATGGGGCAGTCAGTCCTAGACTCAAGACAAACACTTCACGATGAATTGAACCACTATCTCAAGTTCTAGCCCACGAGATTCTGACCGCTAGATGTGGGATAGGAGAGACACAGAGAGAGAAAGACGCAGAACAGGAGGGGTCGATAGGTGCAGGAGGGAGAATGTGGGGGAGAACAACAGAGACGGCGGTGTGGAGATGTGAATAGAGAGAGTGAAGAGAGAGAGAGAAAGAGAGAAAGACGAACCATAAGTACTTGACGTCCTCTGCCATGCTCTCTCTTACGTCTCTATTGCAAAATTGTGTCGACTTCTCGGCATCATTCCTGCCACGATGGTGTCAATTTCTTGATGCCGTCGTCTACCAGGACTGCATACGCTGATTCCTCAGCTTGTTCATTGCGACAATGATGTCGATTTCTCGATGCTGTCTAACTACGTGATCATGTTGATTCCTCGACGTTGTTCGCGTGTGGCTATGGTGTCGATCTGTCGATGTCGTCCTCTGCCAGGACCACACTGGTTTCTCAGTGCTGGAGCCTCCCCTTCCCTTAAGGTGTCGACTTCTCGATGCTTATTCAACCTAGCGACCGCGCTGACTTCTCTGCGTTGTTCGCTTCCGTGATAATTATCAATTTCTCGATGCCATCCGTGCGCTAACCGTGTCAACTTCTTGATACGGTGAGCTCTCCGAAACCCCTCTCAGTCACCAACCAGGTGGCCAAGCCTCATTTCTGAGGCTGAGCGGTAGCCGATCTCTCGGCTGCCCTCCTGGTTGTCACCGTTGACGTAACCCACTCTCCATGATGGGCGACGTCGCGGTGGCAGAGACTGACACTACTTCCAGCTTTTGGTTTCCCTGGTTCGTGCTCCCCTCCATCTTCTGCTCCGGCTTGTGCACCCGATCCGTCGCCCATAGGCCAGATGGCGCTTACCCAAGCCCACTGATATTTGGCGGCGCGGTCCAGCTCAAAGAGGCGGCGTCGAAGAGGAGGATCAACGGTAATATGGTGGCGTACATGCTTCGCTCCAGCATCCCGGGCCGCAGCAGCCGATTCCAGCTCCCGCAAACGACGCTGTGCGTGCATGATATGGGCTGTCAAGGCTTCCGATGAGGGAAACTCACAGTACGCCGCTCCATCGCACGGTTTCCCATCATCCGCCTGGACCGCCGTCTTAGCAAGCCAATCTAGTGACGTTCCCACAGTCTCGCGTGCCGACTCGAGAGTCATCAAGGCCTCGTTGACTAGCCCGCGAACAGCATCGCGGCGAGGTGCTAGTTCCTGTGAAAGAAGCTTTACGTAAAACACTATGTCTTCACTCCACCAGGGGCTGCCGCTGCCGCTATCGCCATCCTTCGGGGTTATATGGCCCGGAGAGACGACCTCGTTGTGTGACATGTCTACTAGCATGTGAATGACGGCGCCCTCAAGTAGCTGGGACTTGTGGAGATGGTGCTCCAAGGCTGTTAGTTGGCGCATCCAAGCCTCCACGTTCTTGCGAGAAGATTTGAGGTAGCCAAGAAACGACTGAGCCAGGGCACTAGCACTTGTATTATATCGATCGTATGTGGTGGTGGTGAATCTTGGTGTCGGTTTCGGTGTCGGCATAGAGTCGAGGTCATCGCGCACATTGACGAGTAGAAGGATGAGGTCGGATTCCCACGTCGTGTGATCGGTGCGGGACAGGGCTTGCAGCAGAACGGCTGCATCGCGTGCGTTGTCGGCTAGGTTCTTGAATGCGTCGAGGGATCTGGTCGACGTAACAGATGAGGTTGTTGTAGAACGAACGTGACGGGCGAGATTAGACAACTTAGATGTGACCAGGGAGTATGATAGGAGCTGGTCTGCGGGCCACCAGATATCACAGGGGTTTCCTTTGAGGTCATGATGGTGGAAGCGAAGAGGGAGGAGGCTGAGAGAAATGGACTCGATGTGAGAGAGCATATGGCGCGTATCGAGCATTCGGGTGCGGGAGCGATAACGAGACGGCGACGAACCGTAGGCGTCGAAGGAGAAGACAGACTGAGGATGATGAACAGTGCATAGCAAGAAACCCGCCATCAAGAGTGTCATCACCATGACAAGGACCACCCTCAGCATTGGACCGCGCCGCAAGGACAGCTCCTCCTGCGGAATCTGCACCACCTCTGGTTTGGACGACAGCTCGGACGGACTGGAGGTGGTGTAAGCGGGGAGATGTATAGTATCGACCGTGAAGGAGCGACCGCAGCCGTCGGCGTGGTAGGGATTGCCATCTTCGTCGGTAACATCGTCGTCGTCGTCGTTGAGCTCTGAGCATAGGGAGACTTGGTTTTTGCAGTAAAAGTGTACAGTGTGGGAGGTTGTTTCGGATGCGGACGCCGACAAAGACAATGGTGTTAAAAGCCAATCGTCATGGAAGCACAGCGCGACGTGGCGGGTAATAGAATCGGCGACGGATCGGGGGAACGACAAGCTTAGGGATACCCGGTAGAACAGAGGAGAGTCGTCGTGATTCTCCCAACTGCTGTAGCAGCTATCGATGGCGTCGGAATCGACAATGATGTTCTCCGAGTCTTGGCCTTCTTCATGGGGTTGCTGCATGATGGACGGCGAGCAGTGGTAGTCCTGTCTGGGACATTGGAGATGGAGGGAGAAGCATCGTGGCAGCGGTCAAGGACAAGATATCGGCGGTGCATTCACTGGTGAGAAATCTCAAAGGGGGATTCCGAGTTCTGTGCATTCGCGTCGAGTGCGTGGTGTTGTCGTGTCCGTTTGCTTCTGATTGTTGTTTGCCATTGTTGTTGATTGAGTGCTCTCCGCCGAGGGAAAGACCAAAGGAGACAATGATGTCACTGGCAGCTACCTCATGTGTGGATACGTGGATATGCAATGCAAGGTATCTGGAATTAAAGAGAGAGAAAAGCTTTTGTTTCCAATGGTTTTTCTCGATGGGGGGACAAACGGACAGAGAAAAAGACGTTGGAGGGATTGGAGGGGCAGGTAAAAGGTAGAAGTGGCTGGGTGATAGTGGGCTCCTGAGGTGTGGCGTCTCACCTGTGGCGCCTGTGGCTCGCGAGACAGAACGTCACATGACGTGAGAGGAAAGGAGTGTCGTGTGAGCTCGACGTGGCCGGACAAATCAGCATCCGTCGCCGACAACAAGAACGGAGGCGCTCGAGCCAGCCAAGTGTGACTGGCCAATGGCAACCGGCTCCTAGAGCTGCCGTCTCCACAAGCTACCACGTGCACAGTTGGTTTTGGCCGACTCCAATAGCTGCCGGGCACACGGTTGAATTTGCCACAGCCACCTGCCCGCTTGCACAACACGCAAGGTACCTAGCAACATACCTACCGAGGTGGCTTCTTCCAAAGCCACAAACAGAGAGAGCAGAGGGAGTCCAAGTAGTTCACTCACAACTTGAGAAATCCATCGCTCGGGTGACAAAGATGACCCACGTCGACGGCATCAGGCACTCAAATGAACGCTATTGTTTCCTGCCACTCAAATGCCCAGAGGTAGTGTTGTGCAGATGTCTCTGCTACCGGACCGTTCGACAGTGTCTGGGCGGACTCCAAACGCCCGGAGCCCTACTACTTACCGCTCTCTGGACCTGTCGCGTCCCACCTGCCACCAGCTGAGCCGGGGCACGACGGGGCTGGACGGGGCAGATGCGATGTACATTCTCTTGTACCCTTTCGACGCCATCACCATGTCCTCATCTCATGCAAGCACAGCGTCGGGCTCCTCTCCAGCGCAAGTCAGTTGTCCATTCCAATTGTGCAATTGGAAACGGGCAGCCATGAAGCCGATGGACTCATTTCGTTCGTGCTTCCTCGCATGGATGCTATGTTTCGCATTAACAATTTGTTAATTCTGTTCCCGTCCCAGTCTATGGTGCTCCACATCTGTATGCATCCCGATGCTCTCATCTCCGTCCTATTCATCAATAACAAAAAATGAGGAATGACAAAACTTCCCTTGCGTCCAACAATCCCCCTACCCTACCGACAACCTCCCCAGTACTGTCATTGAGACCACGTCTTCTCCCTCGATGGACAACTCGTCTAACGCTGTCGCTGCTGTTAAGTCTGTCGGCAAGCCTGCCGACGCCGTCATGGAAGCCGTGTCTTTCCCCGCGGCTGGTACTCCGTCCAGCATTGTCACCGCCGACAACCGCACAAGATCGATCAGTAACATAAAGTGAAGAAATTACAAACAAAAAACGGCCACTATGCGCGTCCCGCCCGCTCTCCCACAGCTCACAGCCCCAGTCCCAGCACCAAAGAACCGGGAAAATCTAGCGTTTACGCCGCTCGTGCTTCAAGTACTCCAAACACTCCTTCATCTCGTCCCATGTGAAACCACGCGTACCAGGCGGTGGTTGTTCTTGGTCCTCTTCGATAACAAGGTACTTTGGCTGTTCTCGGTCCCGTGACGAGCTAGCGGTATCGAAATTGGCCTCCCCGCCTTCCTCTCCCTCAGGCCACGCCCCCGATACCCGGATACCTAACGGCAAAGAAGTAGACGGAGTAGCGGAAGTAGGGGGTGGTGGAGGAGGAGGAGGGGCAGTAGTAGCGGGACTAGGGGAAAGAAGAGGGGAGTAAGGAAGTATGGACGGAAGAAGAGAAGGGAGCAGAGGGTACTCGGGCTCCTGCGCGATCGTTTGACGGTGACCCTGGACTTGGACCTGGCCCTCAGCCTGGACCTGTATTCTCGTCGACGTTCTAGGCTCGTCGTGCTTTGCTTGGGGTTTGTTCAAGCCACTTCGTTCTGTTGAGGGCTGCATCGGCCGCGTTATGGGCCGCGTTCTGGGCTCTATTGGGGGCTTCGTCGGGGGTCTCATCGGGGGCTGCGTCGTGGACTGCGGCGTAGACTGTGTCTTGGACTTCGTCGTAGAGTTCGCCATAGGCTTCGTGGCAATGGTGGCGGCAGCCTTCTTTCCAGACTCTTTGGGATCCTTCAAGGCCTCTTTGGGATCTTTCGAGACCTCTTTGGGCATCGGCACCTCTTCTTCTCCTCCCTCTTCTCTGTCCTGTTTGTTCACAATCTTTGTCAGCGGAACGACTTCTATCAGTATTATCAGGGCACAAGAGCCAAGGCAGACTGAATGAAGCGGCATACAGCAGGATACTCTGGTAGTGACACCCATTCCCCTCGTGTCAAAAAGGATGGTAGCGATTGTGGCAGCAGTCCCCAGTTCTCAGGCCACATTGGCTCATCCGGATCCATTTCCGTCGGGTCGGGAGCAAGCAGCTTAGCCCGGCGTAGGTGGGCTTTCGTGATGCAATTGGCATACTCATGGGGCGGATCTTGGGCAGCGAAACGCTGGAGCTGACGAGCTCGCCATACCCAGTTGACTGCCATGGCGAGAAAGGCCCAGATCGATGAAAAGAGAGACTGAGTGGTCGATGGGAAGGAAAGAGAGAGGACGTATGTGGCTATGTGAGTACATATCTTGTGTTAGATCTACCTACTTCTCGACCGTCGTGTCCACGGCCCATGAGGCCACTCCAGGATGCCCTTATCCCGAGACCCTGATCATCAGCGTTTGAGGCCACGATCTATAGGCATGTTCGCTTCACGAAAGGAATGCCGGCCAATATGACGCTTCACATGCCGCTTCCCGTGTCTGCCACCACCCCCTTTCACTTGTCAAATTCTGTCTGCTTCGCCCAGCCTTCATCCTGGATCCAGGGAGACACCGGCCCACTGGCATCACTGCATCGCCAGCCAGTGCTTCCCGCAGAGACTTCTCAGCACGGGCTCTCGATCTACCGCGCTCGTCAGAGGCAACAGGATCACCTTGTCGTAGTACCTTCGCATCTCCTTTCGCGTCATCAGCACGTCCACGACGGCAAGGAACAAAGATCTCTCCTCGTCCAACTCGTGTATCTTCCTGCCACCCTTTTTCTCTTCCTTTCGCGCCCCAGCCACGTGCCGATCCCACGCCCGCCACAAGTCCAGCTCGACAGCCTCAGCAGTCTTTGACGACGCCGGGTTATCGCTGCCCAGGAACTCGTACAGTGTCTGGACTTCGTTTGACATGGTCTGTGCCTGCACGCGGTGGTGGAGTATGCACAGCTGCATATCGACGCCTGTTGACAGAAGAGAAAAGGTCAGTTCGTGATCTTCAGGAGTACCCGTACCTACCTACTGTGTTGCTTTGGTGTTTGGATAATCGTCGTCTTGTATGGTGAATTGGATTTGTACGCATACAGCCCCATCCCGCCATAGAGCATGCATCCCACACCGACAACGCTCATCAACAGGGTCAAGAAGCCAGAATATCGATGAGCTGTTGATGCCATGGTGAAATATGTTAAACTGAGATCTCAGACAGCCTCAGAGAGTAGGGCGGAGATGCGGTCCGTAGTATCTTGATATAGTCTGTGAATCTGACTTGGAGGTTGAGAGAACTGACGACGGTCTCTTTGGAAATGGGTAATTTCTGCTCGGATGTTCGCCCTGTTTTGCTGGGTGCTTCTCGTTGGATTTATGATGCACTCTCTGCTTGTCGAGAAGTTGCCAGCCTTTGTTGAAGATGTTGTTTCATCCGCCTTGTCTGTCAAGACAAGAATGTGAGGGAACTGGAAAGTTGTTGCCCAACTTTTGTCCCTTTATGTTCTGCGTTATGATATCTCTAGCTTCCTCTGACCCTTTAACTCATCTGCCTGAGACAGGCCGCGAGAAGACGACAGAACTGATCGCCCGTATCAGTCCTTTGTCTCTTGCATCGCAATATTTTCCAGCCTCATCTATCACAGTCCAGCTTCATCGTCTTTCGGCTTCCCCAGCTTCTCCTTTCCTGGGTCTCTGATGTGTGATGTCGTGTCATTCCTACGTCAGCGCGGAGATATAAACACAATGACTCGCTGGGAATCCAAGTCACCTGTATAAACCTCCTGTCAGATGACCCCTTTTACGCAAACGTTCGCTCGAGAAAATGCCACCGAATAGACACCCCACACCCGCCGCGGTCGACGAACAACACGTCACACGCGAAACTCTGTCGTCCGCCAGAAGTTTGTTGAGGGCCTTGAAAGCGAAAAAAGAAGCGGAAGCGTCAGAAACAGCCTCAGCAGCTTCCGTAGCTGCAGGTTCAGTCGCCGCATCGTCATCGTCCGCCTCCTCTTCCACCTCCTCCCCCGTATCAACTCCAGCGAGAGCTCCAGCCGCTACATCATCATCGTCCTCTTCCACTCCTTTCTTTTCCTATTCAGCTCCAGTTGCAGCTCCAGCCGTCACCTCATCACCATCCATCGCTGCAACTGCGGCCCCAACCTCGTCATCATCATCATCACCCTCCCGACGCCGAGAGCGACAAAAAGAACGAAGTCGCCCATCCCATCCTAGCAATGGCCCGCAACATCAGGTCTTGCTGCAAGCTCCAAAAGTCTCGACACCAGACCCAGCTCAGATGCCACGTCAGGCTCTAGATCAGCGACAGCCTGGCCTAACACGGCGTATCTTCGTCTTCATTGTGTACCGCGTCGTGTTCTTGCACTGGCAAGGCACACTTGTCATCGGTTTGGTCTTGGCTGTAGCGGCAATTGCGACATTTGTATCGGCTCACCCATGTGTCTCCCTCGGCATCATGGCAGGCGTGCTGCCCATCGGTGCCGGTATGGCGTCCACTTCGTACAGCCTTCTTTGCGATGTGGCTGGTTTAAAGGGCAAGAACAAGGCAGGCGCTACCATGAATGCAACACAGTACCAGCAGGCGACGTCGCCTTTCGCTCTCGTCAACACCAACTTTCCAAGCTTCTCGTTGGGCATCAGCAGCACGGCAGATGCCGTGACGAATGTTATTACGAGCGATCCATCGCACGGCGTATTGACAACTGCTTCTGATATGCCAGCCAAGGATGCCCTCGGCAAGGTCGATGCCGCGCTGCAGAAGCATTTCCGGCAACGGTTGCCGCGGGAGCAGCGCTGGTACGCCGACATGGCGTCCAGAATCAGAAAGGCTCCGTCTGCCAAAGCGGTGCGCCAGGGGGCTGGGTGGATGTGGTGGCGAGGTCCGGCGATACAGGCACGAGCCGTAGCTTCGGCAATGGCAAGAGCGCGCGCGATACTGGAGGTGGTGGAGGAGGCGCTGAGTGCGCGGCATGAAGTAGTAAGAATCTTGACAATCAGCGAGACGTTGAAGGCAGCGGCCCACGCGCTTCGAAACACGTGCGCATGGAAACAATTGCTGGAGCAGAAGCCATACATTGCGGAGCGGTTCGTCAAGGATCACTACTCCATAGACATGGACGGAGATGCAGCCAACTTCGACAGCAGCAACACCGCGGTGATCAAGAAGGAGTTGGAACTTGCACTGGCCGAAGTATCGCGTGCGCGAGTTCTCTGCCGAGGATCTCATGTCATGACTGAGGCGTGGGATCAGTTGCAGGAGCGCATCACCAGGCGGGAGATGGAAGACTTATTGACGACCAAGAGCAAGCTCGAAGATCTCTTGGCGACTGGACCCGTAGGTGGGCCTTTGGCTGGGAATGGTGTCGGTGCAGCTGATGAAATGGACGATTGGGAAGGGCGATTGTATGAAGTGACAATCAAACTGCTTGACAGCATCCAGCTTGTGTATGGCGATTATTAGGATGGAGGCAAGGTGGATTTTGTCGATAGACTTTCGTAGTTTTAGAAGCAAGGGATGGAGATAGAGTTAGTCGTATTAAGGCGTATGAAGGTATTGTGGGATGTCATTGCCTGGAGTTGTCGTTCACAGCGCACCTTAGGTAGCCCGGCAAAACCGGGGGGATGGTGTCAAGGGGTACATGTCACCGGCACTTCTTAATTGAGTTCGAGTTCCGTGAAACTCCCGTCCATCTTATCTCTCTTATCTGTACGTCATCTCTATCTTAATATTGTTTTTTGTCTCAAGACAGGAGAAATATTGCGGTCAAGTGCATTCCACAGCAGCACGTCAACCATTCAGCAGCACCACTTCTGCTACTTGACAGCAGCATCAGACAGCAGCATTCATGTGCTTAAAAACAGCAGAGTCAACAGCAATATTGCTGCTGTCAAGTGTCCTCTTTAAGCCACTGCTGCTGCGTACTGTGACCCTCCAACATGGTATACTTTGAGTCAATATCTAGAACACTGGTGTGTGAAACGAATCAAAGTACATACGTGGCTGGAAAATGACTCGAAATTATCATAAGATCGGGACATATAGCTCAAGATTCTGCGCGGCAATGGACCTCAGGGCCCATCCATCCTGTACTGTGGTCAATATGCCAGTCTGAAAACAAAGCGAATCGCAGCACGGCATTTCCAACACAACAAGAGCGGCTAGACTTGAGACCAAAATCTACCTTGCTGATTGAAGAGAACCACTTATCACACTCTGGCTACCTGCCCTCCCTTGTTCTATTCGAGCAACTCCATATCCTTGCTGAATTCAGTTCTTGATCATTGCTCTTAAGCGCATGACTTCTGCCAGTTGCTCGCCCGCTGATTGCACATTTTGTCCACGAGACAACATGGTTCCGAGTGCCTGCAGTTCGTAATTCGTGATTGTGATTCATGATCTCGTGCGAAACACATCCCATGACGAATTTTCCGTCAATTACTGCGCGTCACATCAGGATTCGTCAAAGCGCGCAGCTCCACGTTGAAGGACCAAGATGCCTGCGATGCACAAGCTGTATGCATCCTGGGCCATCGATCGCGCTTCCTTGCCTTCATCTGCCCCCTCCGCTAAGATGCTTTGATAAGAGGTGCCCTGAGGAAGGATTGACGCTGTATTGACTATCGACCGGGGTGATCTCTCAAGTTATTGAACCCGTCGGCGTTGACGCCTGGGGGAATGGCGACGTCTCTCTCGCCAGCCTCCATTACTGGATTGATTGCGTCGCAGCACGAACTTCCTCTAAGCTCCGATAAACGCTTACCCTGGTCCGAGCATTAAAGTATTTATTTTTGGCTCCTCTTGGCTTCTTGAGCCTTTTGACCAGCCTCGTGTGTCAATTACAGAAATGTGTGCTGTGCCCTCACTGCATCTCAGCTCGCCACCCTCGCGCGTCAGGCAAAGTGCCGTACTTTCTCAGCGATAAAGTTGCCAATTTTCAAGGTTCTTTACGAGATTGGGGTCGAAGTAGCATCGGTGACTGAATGCCTCGTGGTATGCTGGGCTGTGAAAGCGTGATAGCCGGCTACTTCGCGGGATTACGGTGTCGACTGAGGCTGAGACTGAGGCTCTCTCTGTCTCTCGCTATCCCGCCCCCTCACAGGGAAGCGACGAACCCTTTCCGCAAAGCATCGCATGAGAACTTTCGGGAAAGGAGACGTCGTTCAAGAGATTGCAGATATGGCTTTGAGAGAGCGTGGCAGCGGCAGCGATGATCTCAACAGCATAGTCAAGATTGTTCGGCTGTATTAGACCCTGTTGTCATGTTATACGTTAGATGATTCGTAATTATTCAGAGAATGAAGAATAAAGACTCGCAAACCAAGGATCAATACTCAAGGAGACAGACAGGCAAGGACTTACCTTGATGGCGGCGACGGGCTGCACCGTTTTGAGCTTACGCAACCACTGAGGGTAGGACAGGACGTGGCCTTTGACGAGGTACGCTGTCAGGTCTTTGTCGAGAAAGTCTTAGAAGTGATGAAACTGGATATAAGACTGATAGCGGTACAGGACTCAATGCCGATTGTTATCGTTGACTGGAAGAAGAACCGACTTGCGCTTGACTTCACGAAGAAGCCAGTTGGCGGAGCATGAGGAGACTGACAATGAGTTCTCTCATCTGGTGAACCGACCGGTGCGCCATGTGGTTGAGTAGTGGCAACAAGTACTGCGCAGAGACTTGGCTGTGTTGTATAAATGCTTCGGGATGCTCGGGTGTTGTTCTTCAACAACTTTGAAGTCTGACAGACTTTGACGTCCTCGAGGGCTCGAGTTCTCGGAGACCTGTGGTTCCTGCCGTAGTGGGTTCTGTGGATGCTTGGGTGTACCCTTTGATTGATTCTGAAAATGTTGAGGCTGGAGATGACTTGGCGAACCTGGCTTGATGGATGACTCGCTCGACATCAGCGAGGGGATACGGGTGGATGGATAAGGCGGGGGCCGGTGCGAGATTGAGACGAGTGTCAGTATTCCTTCAACCGCTAGATGGCGCCAACACGTGGGTACATCTATCCGAATATTCCCCTCATATGCGCCTATGGATAGTTAGGAACACGTTGGAAGTTGGAGGAATACTGGCGACGGACATACTGACACATCGTCAATGGGAATAAGTATCAGGTGCCTGGGAAATACACTTTCGTTCTGCCATTGAACTGTGAAGATCTCAATCGCCGCGGATAAGGAAAAGGAAGAAGCCGCCAGGGTCGCGGGTTGAGCGCCTTGTTCGGACGGCTCTGAATCTTCAGAGTCTCCGGAGTCCGGAGAGATTGGCGAGAGGTCAGGCCCTAGCGCGGCGAGTGGCTCGGGTGCTATGATTGGAAAACTCATATTGTCCAGCAATCTATTGCTAGGTAGGCTGTCGTGCACGGCTGCCTGCGATCTCCTTAGTTTTTTCTTCTACTTTTGAGGGAGAAGGGGGCTGTCATCGTACGTTCGTTTGATTGGCGATAGAATTTTGGGAGAAGGAGCAGAGATGCCTCAACGGCTAGCTGAACGCCCTCTGCCCTTGAAGGGATGCTTCGGAGCCTTTCAAGTCAAGGCTTGGGGCGTATCGGCCAGAGCCGTTTATCGTCTGCGGCGCCACAGGGTCAGCATGATGCAAGACTTTCTAAAGGGCTTGCGCCGACAAATCATGTGAGTGGAGGGCTCGGGGGCTAAGATGCGATATTTACTTCTAACCCCCCGTTCGGTTAAAGGGAAGTGCTCCGTTCCCCCCGTTGAAGGGGAAAGGCTTCATTACCCCCGTGTCGATGGGAAGCGCATAAAAGCAGCGCAGCGATCGAACGCCCTGTCTCTTACAGCCCACAGCGTCGTGACTGCCCAAGCGACCCCATAGGCGATTACGTCTCGGCCGGCGGTGACATCTCCGCAAGCATGCAGCGTATACAATAACGTGCAGTATTCCACTTTTATTAGTGGAAGCTATGATCAATTAGCAATCTGCAAACCTTCGAGATAAGAGCCTTGGAAAGGTGTTCCAGAGCTTGTAGGTTGGAGAGGCTGCGAAATGTGATGGGCTGGTTGCGGTGGTTCTGTGCTCCGCGAAACAAACGCACCTCAAGGTCTTCCCGGCTCTCCCTGAGCACTTCATTAATCTTCTCAATGGTATTGAGTTCATGCTCACAGCGGTTGAAGGAAGCAAGAGCGCTATTGGGCAGCTGCTTGGTTCTCGAGTTTGAAGCCGTCGAGGAACCATTCACCCGTCTGATCCATCATCCAAGTATTTGTGTTGAATAGATGCTCACCTCCAGCGCCTTGTTCTTGGCGATCTCGAAACTAGCCGTGATAAGGATGCAGTCAGTAATAATTTCACGACGCAGTCTTTCCGAGATGCGATCCGCCTGCTTGAGGAGTCCAAGGAGACAGCTGATGTCGTGCCGTCACCGCAGATATCTATCTTGTGTAGTCGTAGCTCTAGCGATTGCCGGCAATCAACCTGCGCAACTTTGTCATGCTCTCTTCGCGCTTCAACCAATTCTGCTCCGACTCCCTGCCCTCAAAGTACATCATCTTTTCCCTAAAAATGTCGTCTAATTCGCGCCGGGCGTTGGCATATGACAGCTCGACCTCGCTTCGCGTTTCGGGGGCTGGAGTAACGGGGCATTCGCTCGCAATGGAGTCATGACCCCATTGCGGTTTTGAGTTTGCATCCCGCGGAGCTACGTGATGATCAGTTGGTGTCTGGAGAGGAGAAGTTAAAGTTGAAAGGTCCAGATCCGACGACGAAGAATAAGATGAAGCCTCAAAGAATGGAAGAAAGGCGGAAGGGAAACGGCCCGTCAAGGGATCGAGGATGATGGGAAAATACCTTGAAGAGGGATGGTATCCCTATCACAGGGTAGACGGTTCAAACCGTCCAGTTCTTTGGGTGACGAAGGGTCAATGGCTGTCTATCGACTGCCTCTGGGTCTTGGTGTGAATGGGGATTCTAACCGTCAATTCGAGGTACAATTGGGGGTCTGGCTGAGGGTTGCTCTTGACTCTCGGCCGAACTGGACTTGCAATCCGACAGGATGAATGGAGAGATCAGAAGAAGGGGTAGACGAGAAAGAGGTAAGCCGAAATAGAGGGAAGGTGAGAAAGAGGGAAGGTAAGAAAGAAGGGAAAGTAAAAGGGAAGAAAGGAAAGAGAAGAGAATTAAAAGAAGAAAGAGGGAGGTGAAAAGGAGGGAAAGCAAAAGGGAACGAGGTTGAGAGAGGAAAGGCAAAAGGGAAGGTGATAAAAGGGGAAAACTAATGAGAGGGAAAGTAAGAGGAAGGGAAGGTAAGAGGGTGACAAGGAAGGAAGGATGGATGGAGAGGAGGCGATATAGCTGCCATTGTCTGCAAACTGGTGATGTGCCTGAGGGGATTCCCTGGAGCATCAAAGCTGCGGTTGGTACGTACATGCGCTGCTGTCAGAACAACACCAGGAGCAACGCCGTCGCAAGTAGGACAATTTCAAGGCTTGCCCCATTCAACACCATTGCTTCCTTCGAGTCTGCCGATACTAAGATTGGAAATGCTCGTGTCAAGTGCTGGCAGCACCATCGCCGAAGGTGGGAAAAGTTGGATTGCTTGCACGACGTAACAGCATTATTGCTGCTATTCAGTCTGCTGCTGTCAGGTCCCAGGATGCTGTTGGGAAAAGATGCCAGCAGCACGTACGAGGACCGTGCCATGCCGTCCACCTTTGACGTCTTCTACCAATGATCCAGGGGAAGCACCTGCATCGAAAGTTCATTTGTTGGCTGCACTCACATTCCTCCCTGAAATGTCCCGCCTCGTCCATCCAAGCCATTTTATTTGCTGCGCAACACCTTCCACGAACAGCGTCGCCGGTACCGTCTGTGGACTTTGACAGCCCATCCCTATCTTGCTGTGGATCACAAGCATCTATCTAAAAAAAGTGGTTATCGCAATTCTCATGGCCTCGAAGTGAGATTGACTGCCCTGAACCTGTGAGCTAAGCCTTGCTGCATGACGAGCAGATTACTTTGTCGTGTCACCACCAGCATCTTTCAAGTCTCCACCCATACCAAAATGTTTATATGCTCGATGATGGAGAGTACTCAACAAGATGAAGGCTCCCATGTCACTCGAAGCAGTGGAAGTCACCAGTGTGAGTTGGACACTTTTCGCTTGTATAAAAGTCTGGTAGGTGGCTTGATAGTGGCGGCGTTGCCGGTGAATACAAGCCACACGACTCTGTAAGTGGTTCCGGGCCGGCGTGCTCAAAAAACTAGATATTTTTGATTTCATTGAGCGACGGGCACTCAGCCTTCGGCATCTGTGAGGGTACGTACTTTACCCAACACAGGCAATGAAAAGTGAGGGAAGCAAGCGCCGCAGCCACTACCCTGCTGCAGCCTCCACGTCGGGTGCACCTCGGCGCCCACCAGTCCCAGCCCCAGGACCAGGCTCATTTTCCATTCATTTTGTCTCCCGCATCTCCACCTCGCACCCACGCCTTGCGACATACGAAATGATGGTCATTATGTCTTTGAGCTTGTAGCCTGTGAAAAACCCCCACGAGTCTGCTGACTGCTGCACCCATTCTTCAATTCGGAGGAAGATGGTCCCAGCCCAACGGCGGGACAAGCCACATTTTGGCTGCTCCTTTGAATCGAACCGAGCAGCGTCTTCCACAAGCACGTCTGGGTTGAGGTGACGGAGCGAAATTGTGGTCTTGGTGGACTTGGGAATTGATCGTTCAAGGGTCAGGATGGGTGGGAGTGATGGATGCAGATGTTGCAATTGGCTGGATCATGATTCAGGTCCGCAACCGCGCGAGAGAGACGAGCGAAATGTACATTCAGGCCTTGCAAAACCCTACACAGCTGCGAAAGAAGACAACCAGGGCTCAAAAGATTAGAAGACGAGCACGCACACGCTCCCGACTTGTCGCTGTTCTTCTGGGTGGCATATTGTGTGCGGGCTGTTTGTTTTCCCCGCCTCATTCAATCGCAATGGTGGCGACCATCTTGCTCTGAGCGAGTGCCATTCGGAGTTCGGAGGGGAGGGAGGTGTGGGAGGTCATTTCAAGGTTAAGGTGGCTGAAGCTAGCTGAGCCAGAGGCAAGGTTGTGGCCCACTCTCGCACTGCCTTGGGTCGAATCAAAGGTGGGCAGTGACATGGCAGATTTGGTTGCTCAAGTTGCTGAGTCATAGGCTGCCCAAGCTCGGGCAGCCAACCCGTGAATCTTATGCCCAATGCGAAGTATACCGACCAAAGAAATATCTATCTATCGGATAGATGTATAATCATGTTGCACACTGCAACGTGATTATGCACTTAGACACAGCACTCAAGTGTCTGTGCGTCGAGTCCCACTACTCACACTCCAATGCACTAGACGCAAAATGAGAACTAGCCACTGACGCTTGAGATGCTGCCGCGACACACACTTTGCTTGGGTGATCGAAAGACACCACGACTCTTTCAACAGCTTCAACCTCAAATTTCATCGTCTTTTTGCACATGGATACCATCAATCAGCGCTGCGTCGCAGGCTGGTTGTAGCGCCCGACTCGGCAGTCCTGTCTCAAGCATTCTGGGATTGGTCATGGGAAAGCTCAACGTTGACGGCAAAGCATCGCAGCCACATAAAATTGGTCTTGGATAATAGTCTTGCGGTTGAGTCATTACAGCCGTTGAGTACTGTCTGAAGCTGACGATATGTCTGCGATGTCGGCCAAAGGATGTACGGAAACATCAAGCAAAGGAGTCATGGTCTCGAGAATGGGTCACACCAACGTCATCTTGTGAAATGTTGTTTGTCCTACGTACCCGTCCAAGATATATCACGACGTTAGGGCTTGCCAGCCAGAGCTACACGCCTTGCTGTTTGCTTCTTCAGACAACACGGTGCACCAGAACAGATGTATCAAACCCAAATGCGTGTTTCAAAGTCTTCCGCCCGTAATCATTCTCGTATCCCGGCTCCCGCAACTCTGAGTACTAGTTCCAGAGAAAAGTGATATGAGGGCAGTGTCCTTCTGACACGACATCAATCAGTGGCAGAGAGACCGTCTCCCTTTTCCTCCTCAAGTGCCATGAGCAGCTGCCGAGCTGAGTTGACTATCATGATAAGGGCAATCTCGACTTTGCTGGCGTTCTTTGGTGATGCCGACATGATCTCGTCAGTCTCGAGTGAGAGAATGTTGCTGCACAGGGTGACAATCATGGTGGTGGTGTCCGGCGGGGTGTGAGAGCCAGAGTCGGGGCCGGAGTCGCTGGCGTAAGGCTGGTTTGCAGATTCGAAGAGACAGGTCTGGGTATCAGAACTGCAGTTCATCTTGACTGTCTTGGACGGACGGGGATTATGGTTGGTATCATCGGGCGAACGAGTTCTTCTTCGGCAGGATATTGATAACTGAGAAAATTTGTCTGTATATCCTGCAATAACGTTAGCCACGGTGATCCCCGGGGCTGCTGGCTGTAGGATCAGAGGAGCGAGCGGGAAAGAAGAATGCAAATGCAGGGAACGCGTCAAGTGGGCAAGGGGGAATAAGAGATACCTACCGTCTTGACCAGTCATGATGCGTATATCCCTGCGAAGTGCAGTGCTGGCCACGCTACTTGCGATCGGTGGCGGTTGGGTGATGCTGGGCGAAGGTGTGTGATGTTTGTGCTTGTCTCGTTTGCGCAGCGGCGGGCAGGCGATGTAAGAGAAAGTGGGGAGAATGGTATTGAATGGCGAGTCTGCACGATAACGTTTGGGTGTACTGTTGAACGAACGAAGTCTTTCAAGTAGGGCATGGACGAGTTACAATCTGCTCTGGGTTACGTGAAGGGCAAGAGACAGATGGAGAAGGAGAAAAGCTCAGATGGACAGCAGTTCCAGGTCGTTCCACCTCATTGCAGAAGAGGGAGTCGGCATATCTGGTTCCGCGACCTCTTGGAAGTACCTTACGGAAGGAAACCAAATTGGAAAGAAGTAGCGGCAAGGACTTATCTGAACAAGAATGGTGCTCGGAGAGAAGGAGGAAGTATCTTATCATGTAGGAGGTAGGAGTCAAAATACAAAAGGTGACGGCATCAATGGAAAGCGCAGAAAAGCATGAGAGGTGGGGAACGTACCTTACCTCACGTCGGGTACGAGTGATGATGACAGGCAAGAAAATTAAGGCGAGGCGAGGAAGGAGACAGACCCGTGCCCACATCCTGGACGATGAATTATGCTGCGCCCTGCATGTGACCGCCTCAAGTGATCTTGTCACGCCGTCTGAGGTCAAGTACGTACATACATAAGGTACCTGTTAAGGTAAGATAGCTATTAGTGGAGGAAGGACATATGTTCTACGGAGGAAAGAAGCTGTGAGTTCCACGATTGTGCTTCCGGTCCAATTGGTCCTCGATTCACGTGTGGAAAGCTCCACGTATTCAACCTTCCATGAATGATGGAAAAGCCAGTACTCGGAACTACGTATTCCAGAAACGCATGGAAGATCAGGTCTCGTGTCCTGGTACTTGACTTGCCTCGAAGTCCAAGCCTGTCATTCCATCCCGGAGCCTGCCAAAAATCTGCTCAGCCGCAATTTTAATCCCCTTGCCATTTTCCAGTCACTTCCCGAGTTCAGATCCTGACTGCCATTCTTCCCTGTTGTACCAAACTCACAGAGGCTGGTACGTTCTCGGGATGCTTCTGCTTGCAACATCATTATCCTTTCATTTCAGTTCAACTTGCCAGGATAAGTGAATGCCAGGTAGTTTCCACGACTTGCTCCGAGGTGGACTGGGAGACAGCTCCCTCGCCTTATCTTCCTGTCCGAGCAGCTTCCTCTAGTCATGTCTGGCAGTATTGAGACGCCTGTCCAAGCACCTAGCGCCGGGGGCCATGGATTCCTGTCATCAATTGCGCACTTTGTCAGTCTGTTTCCATCTCAGTCCCCGTCTTTCCAATAAGGAGACCACATGCCAGAGAGTATATCTGCAAAGGACCTTCATTCTGCCTCAAGACATACCCATCATGTCCTGAGATGCCATGCCTGATATGTCTCTTTCTGTCCGTCTGGTTTGACCTCCCGTCTTGATGTGAATCTGGGCTGTCCGAAGACAAGACATCTTTCCAATCTGCAGCTGTCCTAAGACAGAACGTTCTTCCCACCCGCGTCCATGTGTCTTTCTCTCTGTCTGATAAGCTCCTTCCCGTCCGTTTCAAGACATACCTGTCTGATGTACGACTGAATCCCGTTCTGTCTTAGTCCAGATGTCTTCCCCTTTTTGGTCCGAATTGTGCTTCCCGATTTGATATATGTTACTGATCGTGAAGTACCTCTTGTAAGATCTGGCAAGTCCTCGCGTCTCTTCCTCCCATTCGAGTTGAGCATTGTAAACGCCACGTAGATCTGTATAAGAAGTCTGCCTTTCTCTAATGCCCCAGAAGACTTCTCTTCTTTTCTTCTCTCGGCCGTCAGAAACACACGCACACGCACACGCACACGCACCATTTGCCTCTTTGCGTCCCTCTCCCTCTCTCTCTCTTAGTCTTGCGTTGCTGTGTCTGTAGTAGCCGTTCTTTTCTCTACTTCTCTCACTCTCACTCACTGAGACAATGTCCGCCGCCATTCTTCTCGCCGAGTTTCGTGTTCTCTGCGTGCTTCATCTAGCCGACCCCGGACGCGCCCAGATCCCCGAGAAATGGGATACTCTGTGCCGACAGTGGTGGTCCGAGACCCGCGATGCGGACGAGACCGAGACCGAGGAGGCCGACTGGTCTCGCTTGATTCAAGAAGCCATCCCCCCTGACCAGCTGGACCAGGCCCTGGGCCTTATATATGAACCGGACATCGACGAAGT